CGTCCATTTTGTCATAGTAGTCAGTCTTGTCCATAACAACAGTAACACGTCCTTACACATTATTCCGACTAAAGAATAGTTCGCTTAAATAAAATAAATGATTTTACTTCACAAGAGTTCCAGTTAGGCCTAACACCAGAAGTTGAGGGTTAAGAGATAATCTTAAGTGTACCCGATCTTACTTTATAAGGCCCTTTGACAAAGCAATCTCGCAAATGAATTCAGGATACGCAAATTATTGGTCAAACGAGGATCAAATCCAAATAAATTTTCATTGCAAACAGCCTACCTTTCGAAAGACCTCAGGTAATTTTAGTTCAACCATGGACGGATATCTCATCGAGAATGAAGTGTTTAACTCTCTTTGGCAAGGAATACTACTTGCCTGTCGTTAAAAAATACTAACATCTAATGTACCAAGTGTATTTTTTAAGACAATATTTGGGGGAAAAAAGGAAAAGAAAAAACGACGGACTAAACAAGGAAGCGAAGAAGGTGATCGCCCACATTTGACTTTTAAGAGGACTTCTTTTAAGAAAGTTGCCAACAGTTCGTGTCATCCTTTAGCCCGTCGAAACTAAGATCGTCTGAAATAAGTTTTACAACCGTACAGCTGATTTTCTCATTTAATTGGTTTTAGAGAAAGTTATCATCATTTGAAGTTTATGGTGGCGGGGTTTAACCTGCACGGATAGTCGTAAAGGATGAATGAAACTTTTCAGTTAAATTCATGTCGTGATTAGCAAAGAAATTAAAATATCCTCATGATTTCTGTAGTCATGATCGAATCTTTAATCGGAAACAGCTTAATTTGCTTCTTATCAGATTCAAAACTTTGACAACAGTGCCCGACATCCTCATCGCTAACTTAGTTGCTGTTAACATTCTCAATGAACTGACATCATTCTATGATAGCTGATTTCTGGTTCGTAAATAACCAACTACATCAACCCACGTGATTTACACAACAACTATCAATTCAGTTTGTTCAGTTAATTACTATCATTGCAACTGCCTTTAAAATTAAGTTTGGAGGTTTAACAGAAAGTGTACAGTAATTTTCTATTTTTTTTTCAATATGTGTTGGGAATTCAAGAATACAATCTTTTGTACAAGATGGGTGGTGTCTGCCTTATTTTTCATGCATCTTATGTACTTTGCCCAAAAATTGATTTTTCCCTTCTGTGATTTGTCTAACAGTGGAATTACATCCATATTTACCTCAACCACAACTATTGAAGTTTAGTGCTGACAAAGGTTAGTTCATAATTGAATGCATTAAGTCTATTTGATGACTTGTGATTACCTTTTCTTGAACTTCAAAGACAGAAAAGCTGATTTCCTGATCTCTAACCTCATTACAATTTAAACATAGTGCACTGTTGGTATAGTGAAATATCTTGGAAAATTGATAAGCAGACAAACAAGAACATAAGGGCATTAAAGTTTTTCAAAATTATCTTACATGTAAGTGTGAACAAATATGTGGCATTCTTCCTGTGTTGTGCTGGCACTGTTCACATAGGAATGGAGGCTCCTCTGATCATTTGGCTTTCAGGGATGATTATTTGAGTGTATAAAATATTGGGCCTTAGTTAACAGTTATTCACCAAAGTTGAAGTGAATATTGTTGAATTATCCCCAAGACGAAGTTGAAGGGATTATTCAACAATATTTATCAAGCCTGAAGTGAATAATTGGTTTAGTATAATTGCTTAGGTGCTTTTGAGTTCTGTTGAAACTTTTTTGCTGTTGAAACCATTCTGTTACAATTTTTTTTGATTACTTGTATTGAGAAAAGAAGCCAGTTTCCACTCGAATTTAACAGGTTTACTAAATTCAATCAGTGAAAACTTCATATCTTTCTTTGGAAAAGTATTTTGCCAAACTCAGTAGCATCTTTTGTGCTCTTCAAAATTGTATTTTTTCTGTTGCTTTAGTCACTTCCTCAGTAAAAGGCGAGGCAGCCATTTTGAAATTTAGCCTTCTCCCCGCCACTATTCCCCTACTATAATCACCTCGCGTAAGGTGATTATAGCGTTATATGATGCAATCAATGACTAATCAAAGTGTGCGCATCTCAATAATCTCCAGAGCACAGATTGTCCTGAATTTAGCCTGC